GGAAGTGGCTTTACCCTTCCAGCATTATATGATCGGTTTCTATCTGCTCCACATATGGAATGGACGTTTGTTTGATATGAGCGAGCCAAATGTGGGCCATCCTATGTGTGCTAGACTGTAACTGGTCCCAAAAGGGGAATGTGAGATCCAGAGCAGAGCTCGTCCGACCGTTCAGCCAGGCAAATTGAACCCTTTTTGGGGCACATTTATTCATATCACTAGCCAACTGTGGTCGGGCTGGGCTTTGGTAAAAGAAAGATGAAAAACTGGAATCCATATGGTGGCTCAGAGGCACGCCATGTGGTGGCTAGTAGCTCCATGGGTTCACCCATTTTCGGTGGTTGTTCTGCAACGAGTGTTCGGGTTGGCCTATATCTTCTCTGTTGCAAACATCATCACCACCACCATCAGTCGTATGGGGTTGATTGGGGCTGCGATGCCCGGGTAAAAGTGAACCGGAATTACAAAACCGATAATTTGATAGCTCTCTTTCGATGTGCACCCAAAAAGTCAAATGTGTTCCTGTTTTAAACGGGCAGGCGGTAGCTACGGTGACTGGCGGCAGTTCTTGTGGAGCCATGTGGTAGAAGAGTACATTTATGTTGCAAACACAATGAATGTCGGCTGCCCTCAGGATGCTGGCAACGAAGGACCCGGACGGTGTTCTGGGGCTTGCCTGTGCCCCATTGAGCGAATATTAATATCAAATAAACGTTGTGTTGAAGCGAAAATATCTAATATCGTTTGATAGAGTCATACGACCGACGACCGACGACGGACGATCGGAGACTGCTGCGGGGGAGAGAAGGTACCTACATACTCCCATGAAGAACTTATCGGGCTGTAATATTCACATTGTTTCCCCTTGATGGTCGGACTTGGGTTGGTGGGAGGGAGCAGTTTGTATGATGATATGGGACTTTTCATACATGGATTGCTGCTGCCAGTGGCAGTGGATTTTTTCCTTCGTCTTTTGTACCAATCGAGCAAGAACGTGATTGCCGAGATGTTCAACAGGCACGTACGGAGGTAGTGATGATTTTATGGAGCTATTTGATATGATTCGATCAAGAGGTAAAATTAACATGTTCAATAAGTGGCTGGGAGCATATGGTAACGAGAAAGTAGAACAGACGATTCAATAAATGCAAGCAAGATATTTGCAGTGAAGTTTGAAGAGTACAGTGTTTTTAACAATAATAGGGTAGAGATATAATTCGTCGTAATCGCCTATTTCCGTTCTATTGTGTAGAACATATCAATACTATCAAAACCGTTGGTCCCCGGTCCATGAGTTGATGGGTTGATAGGTAGGGTCCAGCTGTGGGTGCTACCTTGCTGGCGCGGTAACATTGTTACTCAGTATGGAAAACAAATCAAGGAAAAAAATCAATAATATCAATAATTTCAACGTACACAAATCAATAATGTGTTAGTTTCGCTACTACAGTTCAAAAGCTACAAAACAAAGCCTATAAGAGCGCAAAATATGAATATTTACACCCATTGTTCTCAGAAACAAAAGAAGTGCTCCTAGCGGATCACTTTTACCTACCATCCTGCGTATGACGAAGAAAATCCGATGGCGTTTCAATGCGTTTGGACGGAATTGAAACTCGTAGGACGGAATTGGAATCAAGAAGCAGTGATAGATTTTTAACGATATCTAACGATATTTAGCGAATCTAACGGTACTTATGGGAAGGTTAATAAGTTTTAAAGTCATCTTTAGTCCCAGATTTTGCTCAAATCCGTTTGCAGGTTGTGCTTAGTAGGTTGGCAATTTGATCAAAAACTCTATGAGTTTATTAGAAATTGTGGCTCCGGATTTACCTTACTTAGGCGTTAAATGACGGGCTATCATAAAAATTCTGTGTAGAATACATCAACTATTTGGGTTATCTTTCTTTTATGGCATTCATTTACTTAAAGACTTCGAAAGTTTATAAGCTTCAATTATTGAACTATAGTCATACCTCGATATAACGTAGCTCAATTTTTATTTTTGCTACGTTTTATCGAAGCAACATTTTTATCCAGAACTTATTTCTTATCTTTTTTCTATTAAAGAATCAACCTTAAATCAATGTTTTCACCCAACAGGGTGTTCTAGCCCTTCTACCTCTTTTTCTTCAATTCATTGTAATATTTATTTTTATTTTCTGTTTATTGTTTGTTTAATTATTCATTCAATTTATTTCAAGTTTTATATGTATTTTCTTTTTTTATTTCTTAAGTTTTCTGTTCATCTTAGAATATAACTTTTAATAGTATTCTTTGAATGATATATAAATAAAAATAAACCAAAATTTGATTTCAGCTTATTCCAAATAACCATTCTTTATTCATAAAAGTAGAACAATTCATAAACTAGTACGAAATAGCAAAAAAAAAAACATTCCTGCACTGAAGCCTTCTTAGTGCTGTTTGTCAATTACGATGTCCATGACATTAGTACGCATCTGACGCAGCGAGAACTGTGTAGTCAGTAGCCAATTGTTTTCTTTCGCGTATCTGATTATCCGACACGTTTACATATTCGTCATCATTTCCAAAACTCGTAGATTGTGATGCTACTTCCTGCGTTGATATTGACTGCATGGTGTCGTCACCGGCATACGAAATATCATTATCAGCATCTTTGTGAAGAACACTTGCGATGATCTCATCATCGTCCAGCGTTACAGATTCGGCATCCTCCTCATCGATTTCTTCGGTCTGTACTATCTTCTCATCAATGCTTCTCAGCGTGTCTCTTACGACCGACAGCGGTACATCATCCTCCCTCATCGTCAATTTCACAAGCATTGTAAAGCATGTTCAAAGATTTGCGAATCGAGTTGGTTGGAACTACCTTCCACGCTTGAGCGACCCTAAAGATGACGATCTTTATGTTGATCTTCTTCTCGCATTCGTCAAGCTCTCCTCCACGAACTTGAATTTCCTGCATCATCAGATTCCTGTAGCGCGTCTTAATCATCTGAATGATATTTTGATCCATCGGAAATTTTTAGCTCATCTACATTGTAATGTGCTGTTCGACACAAAGGCGGCTCTTACGGGAAGACCTTTTGACTTGAGGAAGGTGGTCACTTTCGGGAAGAATTCCCCAAAAAACCAAAAGAGCTGCTTTTCCATCCAAGCGCTCTTAGATGCCTTGTAGTATACAGGTAACTCCTTAAGATTTTTGAGTGCTCGTGGTCTGTGAGACTTCCCAATCAACATTAACGGTAATTTGAGCGACCCATCCATGTTACTGCAAGGCACGAACGTGATCCGATATTTATTGATTTTGTATCCCGGAGCTGATTTGGCGTCTCTCTCGACATATGTTCTTGTTGGGGTTCTTTTGAAAAATAGCATACTTTCGTCAGCATTGAAGATCTGACAAGGAGACAAATCTTCCTTCCGACTTTGCGCCGCAAAGTATTTTTGTATTTTTCGACAACAGAAATATTGCTGGACAATTTTTCGCCACTGATTGTCAGTAAGTGAACACCGTTGCGTTTTATGAATTTCTCCACATTACCACGACTTTCAGATTCCCCTGTTCCTACCATCTGGTTGAAGAATGTATTGCTTGGACTTGTAGCATTCCTTGGCTTACCGGTTGGTGACGCTGTCATTTTTGCAAAAAACAGATGTAGAGAGCTATGTTAACCTGTGAGTATTGAGGGTTGGGCTCATAGTCCACCCCTCCTTAAAAAGTTTCCCGAAGTTGATCCCTGAAGCTCAGAAATTATCCCGGGAACACTTTATGTAACTCCCTTGGAGGTCCTGGAAAAGTCCAAGAAATTATAGAATTGCATCGAAGTTTACAGAATTTAAATGGAGCATACAGAATTCGCCTGTAGTTCAAAGGAGTTGCTTTAAGGTCTCTTAGAGTTCATAGAAATCTCCGGATATAAAACACCTTGGAATTCAAACATTTCCGCTAAACTTCATAGAAATATCCAGGAGTTTCTTTTTTTTTTTTTCTTTATTTAGGATATTTTCAGCCGTAGGCTGGTTTATCTCCGAAAGCCCATAGGGGGTCCAGGAGTTCCTGAGGATAGCCAAATCAACTCACCTAGGATTTGTTTTCCCCATCGACCAGTCACGTAGATTTCCCATGATAAACCCAGTGAAAATCAAATCGATCACATCTGCACCAGCCGAAAATGGAGACGGAGCCTTCTTGACCATCGCACAGTGGTTTGAATGCTCAATATCACGAACTTTTTTATTTGCGCCTTCAATGTCGGTTTTTTCACTATGATGTCTTTAAAAGAGTTTTTGCATAAAATAAGGCGCAAAGACTAGTGATAGGTTTTAGTTCGTAACTCCACCACAGGCGGCGCTGCAAAATCTAACTTTTTACATTTACAAGATAGGTATGTGGTGTCTTCAGCAAAGTTGTAGATAATTTTACTACGACAATCTTTGCTGAACACACAAATTAGTTTTCGAGATACGTAGCGTGTAATATGAATATTCAACAAAATTTAATTTTTTAAAGTTTTTATAACATATTTAAAAAACTATAGGTTTTAGAAGACTATAATGTTCTACAAATATTTGTATTTTATTACAATACAAAACTTTGTTCAAGACGTCCAAAAGGCATCGATTACACAGACTGAGTTATTCACAAATTTGGTATTATTTTGTACATATTTTGTGCCCTCACAGACAAAAATCCGGCAAAATCCGGCAGGTGAATCTTGAATAGGATGAAAGCTTGTTCAAAAGTGATCTTAAATTCCATTGAAACATTTGTCCCTTTTAGTATCCTCGTTGATTGATTTGTATTTTTTAAAGGTTGTTCCGTAGTTCAGCGACAGCGTGCATTTGTCAAAGACTGAATCAAAGTAGGCTCAGAGATAATATACCAAAGTTTGATCACACATTGATCGGTTTTGCAGCATTAAACGCATATTACTTAGAAAATAATCCTTTCATAGTGAAGTGAAGGTTATTTTTTCAACATTTCCGTAGCAGATCCTAAAAGTGAGAAAAGCATGTCTTTCAACAATGAAGGTAAGTACAACCATGTTGTTAATAAGGTATTTAGTGATATTTTCCAATTCATGATATAAATGAGTTATCTATGGAAGTTATTTGTTTGTGACAATTTCAAAAATAGTTTAAATTATAAGTTATCAAATAAAATTTCAGTTGAAATCGACAGGTGAAAGCTTTTTAAACTGTGGAAAGAATTTAAGGGAAACGACATTGATAAATCAAACGTTGTGTCAAGAGAAGTTTTTGACTGTTATGGCATTGAAACATAATCAATGCCGTAACAGTCAAAACGTCTCTGGACGCAAGTGGCAGCTGAAGTCAACCATTTTGTGAAGACGACATGCAAATATTAAAAACAAAACTGTGGAAAACCCACAACCGGACTATGCTTGAAAGCAGTCGTGGTTATTTCGATAGTGGCTTCAAACTACCACAGAAAGTTGTTGATCGTTTCCCTTGTACTTCTGGATATTCCCGTCGTGGAAGAAAATCTTTGGCGTTCGAAGAAATCAGCGAGGTTGTTAAGAGACGCAAGACGTCTGCAGTGCGGTCTAACTACCGAACAGATGAACTTGCATTTACAACCCACATGAAATCACGTGAGGATGGTAAAGAAGATGCAGCGTTCATTGTAAAACAGGCAACGCAAACAACTCCGACAAGAGCCGTGAAAATGGGTTCGGCTATGCAATCATCCAAAAATGGATTTGTACCCTATTCGGAGACGGAAGCTCTTCCGTTAATATTGGATCTTAATTTATCGAAAGACCAAAACGAAAAGCTTCGTAATGGAGCTCTGGATCGGAATGTGCCATTTTATCCGTCCTACTACAAAGTGCTGCAAGCTAAAAAGTGCTGTTATCCCAATACAGGGTTAGTAGTTTCGGAAACGTCTGCAGAAGTGAAACTAAATGATCTCTTGGAGCACACGGAAATGAGGATTGTTGATGCAAATGCGTGCATGCTGGAAAAGTTTAGTGATGACGAATTGGAGAAAATGACGATTAAGTGGGGATTTGATGGCACAACTGGATTAAGTGAACACAAGCAAGCACTTGGCGATGATGACGAAACTAAATCCGATGCAAATATGTTGGTTACATCCATTGTGCCGATCAAATTGGAATCAAATGGGAACATTTTCTGATCCTCTCATCAGCAGGCTTAGAGCATCTCGAGACAAGCCGATTAATGACCTCTGTAGCGATGCGAAATACATTCTTGATGTGGAAGAGAAAGATGAAAATGTTTTTGATAACAATATTGTGTTTATATTTTTGGAATATTTATATATACATACATACAATGATGTATAACGTAAATCATTTAATTATAATATAATAATAGCTAACTCAAAATTATATATTACTTTCAAGTAAACTACTGTGATTTATGATTATGGCAATTACTCTGATGTCCGTGGTCAAGACCTTTTTGAAATGCAAAACAATCAACGAGGATACTAAAAGGGACAAATGTTTCAATGGAATTTGAGATCACTTTTGAACAAGCTTTCATCCTATTCAAGATTTACCTGCCAGATTTTGCCGGATTTTTGTCTGTGAGGGCAAAAAATATGTAAAATTTTTTTACTTAATTTGTGCATAGCTCAGCCTGTGTAATCGATACCTTTTGGGTGTCTTGAACAAAGTTTTGTATTGTAATAAAATAAAATTTGTAGAACATTATAGTCTTCTAAAACCTATAGTTTTTTTAAATATGTTATTATTTGTTGAACAGTCATATTACACGCTACGTTGCTCAAAAACTAAGGAATACAGAGTATTTGTGTGTTCAGCAAAGACTGTCGTAGTATCTACAGTATTTCCCACTTTTATGAAACCGGAAGCCGCCATCTTGGATTTCAAAATGGTGTCAGATATCGATTTCCGGCCTCTGGACATCATCCCGGTTCTAAAAATACTCATTTTTAGGAGTTCATATTTGATATCAAACATCCCTATTCTAAACATAAACTGCTCGGAGTACTCCGGATACTATCCGGATGGAAAAATAATGGATAATATCCAAGTTAAAATTATCCGGATAATTTTAACTTGGATATTATCCGGAGGGAAAGAAATGTGGATAGGGATAGACTCCGTTTATTTCTATCCACTGGATAGGTCTATCCGGATAATTATATTATCCATGCCTATCCGGATAATTTTGAAGCCTGCCTACGTCTGTTGTGGACGGTCCTAACTTTAAAAAAATAAATAATGTAAACTGCCAAAAATAGGGGCAAGAAAAAAGTGACGTTATATCGAGGTAAAAGTTACGTTATATCGAGGTTACGTTATATCAAGGTTACGCTATATCGAGGTATGACTGTATTCACAACGAACACCAAATATTCTGCAAAAAAATCCTACACCGAGGTGAATTTCCATATACCTTTTATGTGTGAAACCACATAGTTTTTTGCAATTAGACTTCACAAATAAAAAATATGTTTGAAGAACATAAAAATTATTTGGTTTCCCACCAATAAATTCAATAACATATAAGAAATGAATTTCATTTGCTTTGGTAAATAGAATTTATGTGTGAGGTTTATAACATTTATTTCTCGGTAGAACATAAAGATTATGTGTCTAATTCAAATGAAAGTCATGGTACATACAATAACGTTTACGTATCAAGTTCATATATGTTATGTGCTAAAATATAAATAAAATAATAACAATACAGGCTCTGGTAAATTATTTATTTTCCTGAAGAATTTACACAGTCACTGACGTCAGTGGATTGTATATTCCCGCGTGAAGGTGTTTTTGGTTTGAGTCCTCCGATGTCTGTCGAAGGCGAGGTCGAAGGTGCTTCGGAGGGCTAATCGGAGGGTCTAGCGTATACATCGCCGCCTTTAGTCTCTACGAGGAAGAAGGCCTGTGTAGAATTCACAAAAAAAAAGTTATTTCAAACAAATAATTTTTATTACACTAACTCACGTTTGCCTTGCGCCATTTAGTTATCCGACGGAAGATTTCGGTTTCCTCTGATTCTAAAGCTTATCCGAGCTCATCACGGGACCTTTTGGCTAATGTTTCTGTGATTTTTTCTCCACTTAAAACCTCGCTGAAAACAATCGAAAATAATAGTTTTATGGTAAATAGTTAAAGATAAATGAGATAAATAATTATTTACCTTCGAGAATGCACAAGTTTTGTTGATAGATGGAGACGATTTTGTGCAAACTTATTGTTTGACGCCATATTAAGGTTCAATTTACTTTGATGCTTTTCGAAAAATTGAAGAGCAGTTTTTTTCGACGCATTAGTTCAGATTGCAAAATGCTCGCACTATTCGATTCCTTTTGCTATTCTACACAAAATGACGCAAGCTTTTAGCAATTTGAAATAATGCGTCGAAAAAAACAGCTTTTAATTTTTCGAAAATGCATCAAAGTAAATTGAACCTTAATAGTGTGCACTGAATTGAATCACTTAACCATTATGTGTGAAAACACATAACTTTCATCTATAAGATTCGAACCATAATTTTTATGACAGCACACATATAGATAAAATTTGTCACGCATATACGTGTTATGGGTTATCTTATAGTAGGTAAGGGGTTTGTTATGAAAATTATGTTTACACATATAAACATAATGTTTTGAATATCTTTTAAAAATTATGTGTACAGACAAAATTAACATTAAGTTTAGAATTTTACTAGTGTACAAGTAATTATTTGCAAATGATTTACCTCATGTATGGTTCCTTTTGGTAATAAACGCTCACTGAATGAATCAGCTGACTTGATTGGGCTTTGAGCTGGCCCTGAAGGTATGATATTTTCTAGTGAAATATATGAGATTTTGCTATTACACGGCAAAAAATAAGATTTTAATATTACATCCATAAGAATGCACTTCAACAATGTCGAAAATCACATTTAATTTTATTGGTCACAAAAAAAAAAAAAAATGCAGTAAAAACAGCGTAATGTCAGTTCATGCACTGTATTATTGATAACTTTGTCCTATTTGGCAAGTAATATTACACCATATTTTTGACACGATTGAAGTGCATCCACTTTGATGTGATATCAACATTAATTTTTTGTTGAAAATCATGATTGAAGTGCATCCTTTTGGATGTAACATTAAAATTAATTTTTTGCTGTGTATCATAGTTTATGATAGCTTATGGGTCGCAATCGAAAAAAAAATAGAACCGCTTGACTAAAGGCTGACTAAAAGTAAATTGGTACGCCCCTTGCGTAGCTCTCTTTGACAGTAGTTTGTTTACACTTCTATAGAGAACAACTGGTGCAAGTTTTATCAAAGTAGTTGATCGCGTTCAGAAATAACGTCAAATGGAACTCCAAAGCAGAAAAAATATTGTGCACAAACACCTGGAAAATCCGGAGTGGTCCGGTTCCAAGCTGGCTAAAGTGCTGAAGATGCCAAAAACAACAGTTTTTCGAGTGCTCAAAACCTACAAGGACACCCTGAGTGTGGAAAGGAATCAGCGGACCTACGAAAAAACTGGAATGTCAAGCATAGGGGTAAAGTCATCTTTTGGCCCGATTTGGTCAGCTGCCACTACTCCAAGCTGGTTCTAGAGTGGTATGCTGCCAACGAGATCGATTTTGTCCCCAAGCTAATGAATCCTCCGAATTGCCCGGAATAACGACCAATCGAAAAATACTGCGCAAATTCAAAGCACCGACTTCGACGAAGCGGCGGGGCCGTCAAGGACATTCTGCAAATGCGGGCAAAATGGAAGAAATTCCACTGTGCGGGCTCCATCAAGAGGAAGGTTCGAGATTTCGTTTGAACTGGAGAAATGTAACCATCTAATGCTGTAACTTTGAAGTTTTAATAAAAGTTCTGTAAAGCAACTATGAATGGACTTTTTAAGCTGATTGAATCACGAATAACAGGTCTTTTTGTGCGAACCAATTTACTTTTATTTAGCCTTTAAGCTATCTGAGGCCCCTAAATTAGTATTCAAGTTATCTTATTGCCGGTAATGTTTTGATTGGCTATGTTCTGGTAATGTTTT